CACAAACTCTTAAAGTTATACGCTTCTGAAATAAAGGTTTTGGGAAGTAATTATGATCAAATGTGACCTTAGCAGTGGGGCTCCCATTCTGATAGCTTCATAAGAAAAGGGGGATCTGGGCCAACACAATTACCTTGTTCTCTTATATGATGCCCTCTGCCATGTTATGAAGTAGCTGGGAAGGGCCCCACAGATGCCAGCACCATGTACTTGGCTTCTACAGCCTTTAGAATTGTAAGACATGAATGGATTCCTTGTTTACCTGTCCTGTAGTATTCAGTTCTGGCAGTAGAAGATGTCACTGCTATTTGCTGATAAAGTGTCGGCTATTTTGAGCCGTTCGTTACAGGAATTGTGGTTTGGTTGCCTGGCCTTTTTATTATAGATTGCAGATCAAAGTTCAGTTTTGACATACGTTTTGACCATTGCTCACTTGCATATTCAGCCTCTTAGTAGAGGTTCAACTCTGTGGAGGTGGGCTGTTAAGATTTCATGCATTACTTATAAATATAACCTTAGCTTAACTACAGGCAAAGAACTAATATGGATAGGAAGCAAACCAAATACCAGAGGCCCAGACCTAAGACAGAAGAGTGTCAGTAACCAGAAAATACAACATAAAGAACTGGAGCTTTGAACTACACATGAGAGGCTGCAGGGCCTTGCCTAGATCCACTCAAAGGTCTGAGACAGAAGGATTGACTGATGCTGGGAAAAGGTGTTGGTGTTTATGTGATGTCTGAAACTTTGGGTCTGTGAAACTCAAGAGGATGGAGATATATTGATAAACTCTCCCTGTAACAAATATGTGAGGTTGTCATCTTACAGAGAGAAAGCCCACTGTGGCCCACAGATTTGGGAATTTAGGGATATGGTGGGGCGGAACCATTGCTGTTAGTCTTTGGGCCAGAGGGCAGTACATCTGGTGAAAGCAGAGATGTCCTTTCAAGGGTGGTCCCTGAGTGATAGACCATCATTTACATACCTTCTGTCTTTAGAGGTCCACCACCCTCTAACAGGGTCTTGGTCTGTTAGAGGGTGGTGAACCTCCTGGTCTAGGGACCAAGCCTTTAACACACAGGCCTTAGGGGACATTCCAGATGAAGGCAGGGGCAGACTGGGGCTTCTGCATTTGTACTTGAGTGACTGTTCCACACCACACTTTTTTCTCGGGAACCTGCAGGCAGTTCTGCAAATGAGGGCTTGGTTTTATCCCTTACTTATGAACTGCATGACAAGCAATTTAACATACATCTACAGTTAATTTGTCACACGTTCGCAGCTGCTGGCAAACCAGTTGAAAGCTCATGGGATTAATGGCCCCGAAGAGAGAGGCAATGGAAGGCCTTCAGAAATAGATGGGTTTGTTTACTCCTAAACATGTGCGTTTTAACAGCCAATTTTGGCTATAGGTCAGGGTTAATTTAGTGTTTCAAATGTCTTTTCAAAAACTTATAAAGTCAAAGATCTTCTTTATCCCAAATATCAAATCTACGGCACAAAAAACCCTTAACCTTCTCAAAAGATTTCTGTGATCTGTTAAGGACAGCAGATTTTATTTTCTACTATGGAGAAAGCATAAAGGTAAGAAATAAGATTACATTTATTTACACAGTTGAATGCTTTTGTTTGTTTTCTTGAGGTCAGGTCTCACTCTGTAGTTCAGGCTAGTCTAGAAGACACTTTATATCTCTTTCTGGCCTCAGACTTAGGACAATCTTCCTACCTTGTTCTTCTATGTACTGGGATTACAGGCACCAGCCACCACACCCAGCTCCCACCTAATTTTGAGAATGAAAAACGTATATTACTGATGTGATATATCTTTAAGTTTTTGTGGATGATAAAAAATAAATGCTCATGGGACTGGGGAGATGACTTGGTCAGTAGAGTGCCTACCACGCAAGCCTAAGGACCCGAATCAGATCACCAGCACCTATGCAAAAATCAGACATGGCCACATGCATCTATAATCCCAGAATTTGGGAGGTAAAGAAAAGACAAGCCCCAGGTGATGTCGTAGGGCGATCGGTAATGAAAAGTCCCCAGACTATCTTAATACAAAATATACAGCTTTAATAAACAGAAGTAAGACTTACATCAGCTTACACCAGAATCCAAATGGTCCGTCTGGATGCAGGAGCCAGGCGAGAGAGCTAGCGGAAGCACACTCGCACTTCGCCAAGTTTATAGGTAAACTTTAGCCTAAGGACAACACGCCCCACGAACTGAATATGATTGGCTAAACTCCCCTATCACCCAGGACTTCGTCTAGCTGAATCAGTGAATTCCAGATCCAGCAAGAGACCCTCCTTCAGAACACAAGGTAGAGAGTGACAGATACCAACCTCTAGCTTTACACACACACACACACACACACACACACACACACACACTGTGTACACATGCACACTGTACATACTTAACCGACAGGATGTGCATTTTAAGCCTAGGAATGATCAACTGATGTGAGGCTTGCCTAGGATTTTCCTGATTTAACACTCACTGAAGAGCCCATGTTCTGAGGTTCTTATAGTACTGGGCAACCTGGACCGTCTGAGATTTTTGAAAGGTTTAAATTTAAATGGATTCAATTTTGAAAAATGATGACTAGAACTGAGTAAGGATGACCTCTATGTTGTTTCCATATGGATGGATGTAGTAAAAAGGAGCGGCAGACTGCTTCCCGCCACCCCGGCTAGCTTTACACCCAAAATAATTACACAGAAACTGTATTCATTTAAACACTGCTTGGCCCATTAGTTCCGGCTTCTTATTGGCTAACTCTCACACCTTGATTAACCCGTTTCTAATAATCTGCGTAGCACCACGAGGTGGTGGCTTACCAGGAAAGATCCTAACCTGCGTCTGTCTCAGAGAGGAGAGTCATGGCAACTGCCTCACTGCCTTCTTCCCAGCTTTTTGTTCTGTCTACTCCACCCACCTATGTTCTGACCTATCAGTCCAAGCAGTTTCTTTATTAATTAACCAATGAAAGCAACACATAGAAACAAGGCCCACCTACATCAGATGGAAAATAGATTTACAAAATGCAATGTAAGGAAAAAATGACCGGAGGAATACGGCAATCAAAGAAGTCACAAAGCACACAACTTCTCCATACTGGTGGGTTAAAGAAGTCATGTAAGTGTTACCTTGAGAGTGGGGATGTAGTTCAGTTAGTAGCTTGTTTGCCTAGCATGGATGGAGTCCTGGGATTGATCCTTAGCACGGCATAAACCAGGTATGGTGATGCATGCATGTGTGTAATCCCAGCCCTTGGGAAGTAGAGGCAGGAGGAACAGGAAGTGAAGGCTACGCTTGGCTACTTAATAAGTTCAAGGACAGTCTGAGCTATACCATCACCAACAAAAATAACAAATTTCCTCATTGGGTATCTAAATACAAAGACAAAGTAAAACGGGATTGAGACACTTCGTCCTCCTATTTACCTATCTTCTCCAATTATTTTTGCCAGTTTCTAAAGCACCTTTAGCAATGCTCTCAGACTGTGTGACCTGGACCATCAGCAACAGCACCACTTGGATGCAAATCCCCAGACACCAGAGTTTCTGCGTATGAAACTCTTGAGTGGGAGGGGCAGAGATCAGCTTATCAAGCTTGCCAAGTCATTCTGATGCTTGAGAAACATGGAGAAACAGCCCAACGGGAATCCTTCCTAATCCTTTTCACTTCGGGAGACATAGCAAAACACAGTCTCAAAGACAGCACACTGGGGTAAATCCGAGGGGCTGTCTGGGGTGCAGTGAAGTGCAGAAGGAGTTTCTAAGCAAGTCTGCAGAACTGCCATGGCACATGCTTCTCCATGACAGATGGGAATGGAGCAGACAGCCATGCTGACTTTTCCACATGTCGGCCACAGTTTTCCACTTGTGATATCAACCAAAAGTGGTGCAGGCTGCATGTCTCTTACCCAAATGCTTGGGACTAGAAGTATTTTGGAAATCAGATTTTGTCACATTTACATATATGTAATGCGTTATCTCTGGATGAGACCAAAATAAAATCCATTATGTTTCATATATATCTGATCCACAGAGCCCAAAGGTAACTTGATCTGATTACTTTGAATAAGTTTCAGCAGAATATGGAATTGGTTATTACAGAATTTTCTGTCATTAGAGTTTGCTGATGAGTGAATTTGTTTTTCTTAGACATTGACTAAAGCCAATTTTTGGATTTTGAGCATTTTCGGATTATGGATGCCCAACCTGTACCTGTAGTCAGTAATTGGACCTTCATGGATCTGAGGCTACCTAAAACTGTAGAAGAGAAATACTCTCAAAAGTCCCTTGTGCCTTAGGAGGCAGAGACAGGTGGATCTCTGTGGGTTCAAAGGACATTGTTATCTACACAGTGAATTCCAAGTCAGTCATAACTACACAGTGAGACTCTGGTGGGTTTCTTGTTTTGTTTTGCTTTTACTAATTCCCTTGTTTAAGACAGGCTTGGAGATGCACCCTTGTCATCCCAGCTCTCAGGAGGATGAGGGAGGGAGGTAGTGAAGTTGAGACCAGCCTGAACTACACAGTAAGACTTAGTTTTAAAAGAAAAGAAACTACCCCGTGGACCCAAACAATAAGAAGGCAGCTTAAAGAATAGGACTTTTTGGACCAGTAGAGATGATTCAGTAGGAAAGTGTGCTTGTTACCAAGTCTAACAACCTGAGTTCTATCTATGGGACCCACCACAGTATAAGGAGGAAGCTAATGCCTATGAGTTTTCCTTTATGTGCACAGTGTGGCACACATGTATACATATATGCACACAATAAATAAATAAAAAATAAATAATTAAATAAATAAATCTGAAATAAAAAAAATAGATCTTTGCTTCAATCATGAGTTCAGACACAGACACTCTGGGATCCCCAGCTGCCTTCTGGGTTAATTGAGTGAGGAGAGTAGGGGAATGGACCAGAGCCAGATGAATCCTGTGCTAGTCCTGTGCCGCCCTTCATTGCATCCTTTCCTATTTAGGTTTGTCCTCTGTTCTGCTTCAGTCAGTGTCTGGGAAGAGGGAATTCCCTCATCAGTGAAGATCAGGCTCTATGACACTGACTACTAGAAGGTAAGAAAGAAAATTGGGACAAGGGGCCCCAATATCCCAAAGAGGAATGCATTGGTACAACTCCAAGGAAAGACCTCAATTGCGTGAGGGAATAAATGATTTGAATAAACTAAGTTGTAGTTTAAAACAGATCATGTCAGTACTCTAACCAACCCGTGTATAGCAGTTTATTAAACATTTGACTTTAATTTTAAAATTCCTATGTTTTCTCCATGGCGGCATCTAGAAATAGATGGCGCAACCACTATAGACCTCATCTAGAGGGCCATGGGCTTATTTGAGCAAATAGCTTTGGGATGTTTTACATGTGTCAGATCCACAACAGAAATGGTCTTCAATTTGAAGCAGTATTCATGGCCATGCAAAGTAGGTCAGCTGTGAACCAAACTGGGCACAGAATGTATGTCCTATTAGTAACAGCTTCTGAAGCATTCTTGTCTTTTCTAATCATCCAAACAATGTTTCCAAAGTCTCAACAAAACATCAGGGTCACTAATTGTTCCATTATCTCAATTAATTCTGTCACGAGATATTCATGTTTTTGTAATGTTTGCTTTTTAAAATTAAGCCAATATAGTTACTTTTGACCCCTGATGCTGAAATCTTTGCAGAAAGTCAGGGAGATACACAGAGTCAAGAATAGATTAGTATTCACAGAAGAGTCAAATTCCAAAGCTCTGTCCCTGCTTAATATTATCTCTAGTCAAATTTTTCTTAGTTGAGGGCATTTTTTATTGGGCATAATGTTGATATGGAACTTTTTACTAAGAATGTGGCTTGATTTAAACTGACTTCAAGAATACAGACATTTATCAGCACGTGGAAGTTCAACAAAGTTTCCCTCCAAACTTGTGTCCTAGAAATTACCAACATTTGGCAAAATTGCACCATGCAGGTTTGATGCTCCAGTGTGTGCTTGACCTGTTGTACTGGGGACACTTTTTGGGGACACATCTTCCTTTCTGTATGATAACCATGGCTCTGATTTTGCAGTGTGTGCTGGGTGGGTGAGTGAGTAGAGGACAATGCAAGGCCTCTTAACATCAACTTTTTCCACATGCAGAAATGCATGGAAGGATTTTACTTGAAGTAATTTATATTATAGCTTCAGTAACTCATTAGAGTAGTTATTTCCTGATAAAGAGAGATGTGGGATAATAGAGATCCCTACAAAAAAGAGGGAAAGGTGACTAAAGGGCCAACTTCTTGGCATTATTCAGCATCTTAACTCACTAGACACATCCATGCTCACACAGACATTAGATGCTGTCACAGTCAATCCAAAGAACTCTACGAAAAAGCTAGACCTCTGTGAAAGTCATAAAAGCATCAAATATTGGTCAAACACTACGTACCAGGAAACACGTTGCTTTCTTATCTTATTCTCATAAATATGGTCATTGTTCCATTTAAAAGACAACAAACTGAGGGTTAGAAGCAACAAGTAACTTGTTATGTGTAAACTGAAAGTTTCAGAGGAAGTCACATCTGTGCTGAAGACCCTGCAGATTGACTGACCAGAAGTTTTTGTTTGTGGAGAGAAAGAAAGTTTCAGACAGGCAACCAAAATTATGTGGGACTATTCTCAGCCCCCTCTCTAGTTATCTGCTACCAACCTCTGTGTCTGCCTTAATGCCCTTGTGGGTATTAGATGAGCTTTTGCAATGTATTATGCTTAGTAGACCACTCTCTTTACCAACTCTGAAGCTAAGAATGTGATAGTATCTGAAACCTATAATGAGACTTCTAGACTCTAGGAATCTACATTCCCAATGTCCTCAAGGCATTGAGTAAACACTTTGACTTTTACTATAAAACTCAAAAATGTCTTTTACAACTTCCTCCACATTGGAACATAACCTTGAGGGAAACATGGCTGTGGTCATTCATATTTTGCTCAGAGTAAACAAACTCTTAGTCCCTTTGATGCAAGAGTTGTGTTCTCTGTTGACATACCACGTTGTAATAAATGCACAGAAAACCCAGGAAGAGACTTGGTGTTATGAACAAATGACTATAGTGTCTGCCTGAAGGCCGAGACCTCTCCTCCTTGGGGGCTGTGTATCTTATATAGGGAACATGTGCCGACTGGCGGAAGAACTAAGACAGGATTTCAAACCTCACAGGCAAAAGGAGCTGATTTGATTTTGAATCTGCACACACTGCGAACTGGGATGGACAGCCTCCTATTCTGAAAAATTCTAAACGCTGTTCATAATATAAGCCCTCAATTCAACCCAGAGCTCCTAGAATGTTTTCTGTCCCTGGCCTTCTTCCAAGAAGCCGTCATTTCCGGGTCTACTCAGACTCACTCATTTAGAAAGAGACTATATGGTTCTCTGACACTTTGGGGCCAAGCCTTCAGCATGGTAAACAGTTTTTGTGCCACCCACAAACACCCATACAACAGAAGCTCCCGACCACAGATTTGGATGGTGTTTTACTAAGAAAATGAAAGGTTGGAGTGGTTTTCTAAAGCAGCAGAAGCAGAGCTGGAGATGAAGCATTCTGATAGGCTGCAATGTGCCCCTTTGCCTAATACCCCTCCACTTCTTGACTCATCCCCACCTTGAGAAGATTTTTTTTTAATGTGCCCACCCAGAGAGGTGACAGCAGTGGGAATGATCCAGGAGCAACGCAGTCCTGGAAAGAAATACCAGCCTTCCAGCCTGGAGGTCTAACTCTTGGAGGCCTGCACAACACACCCTCAATTCCAGCAGGCCACACTTACTTCTGGAGAAGGAAATCCCTATCACCAAATGCAAGCTAAAACAGAAAAAGCCCTTCTTTTCTTTTAAGCGATGCTTCCCTGTCAGATGATAACAGTGCCCACCTGGGGATTCTTTCAGGATAGGATGGAAAGGGGCAGAACAGCTACAGTACTTAATTCAAGGACTCCCCTCCTCCCCCAGAATGCGCCCAATCCTTTTCCTCACAAGTGGGCTGTGAAGAATAGCTAATGAGTGATCATAAACCTCCCAGACAGCTTAGAGTTCAGTGTAAGTGATGGAGCTGATTGTCCTTCCATTTCACACAGCGCCAAGGGATTTTGGGTTTTATGTTTGCCCTGTGATGTGATCCCTGTGGTTTTTTGTAAGTAACAAATGGTCCTCCTAAGCCAGCACTCACTTTGAGCTACACAGAACATGTTCCGTTGAGACTGCTTTTGTAGATGAGGCCACTGTGTATAATCCTGCCTTCTGTGACAATGACCTTGTAATGTGTGTCTATGTGGAGTACAAGATAATGGGAGGTAAGCTCCAAGATGAATGCCAGCTCTATGGAAACATCCCTGAGCACCAGGAAAATCCAGAAGAGCTTTGTTATTACCTGTTCATCACGGACAGAGGAAAGACTGAGGTTGCTCCAGAATCCATTTGGAAAGAGAGGCAAGATACTGCTTAGGGCTAACTACCCTGCGTAACAGTATGAATTGTAGAACATCACAGAGACATGAATTTATTTAGTCTCATATGTAGGGAAGAGAACAGAAGCTAGACACAGAAGTCATTTGCCAGAGACCCAAGTCATCAGCCACCTGCATAATGTCAGTCAGTACCTTCATGACAGAAAGGAAAGAGAACATGGTCCTTTCCTCAATTGAGCATCACTTACAAGGCCCCAAAGACTTGATAAGATAGTCTTTGTCTCACTTTCAGATACTTAAATTACATAAAGACCACAGAGAAGATGAGAACCCCGGACAGGCTTCCTTTTGGCATATATCCTCAATGCTGAGAAGTTCACTCCAACTCTCTAAAACTGATGGAAGTTTGATCTAAAAGTTATCTCATATTTCTGGCTTTCAGTAGACTCATTAAGAATCTGGAAATCACCATTCTCATTGTCTTAAGTAAAGCAGAAAATTCCTAGTAACATGGACAATAAACAATGTTTCTTGGATCTAGCTGAAAACCAAAGTTGCAAGGCTAACTACTGTCACTCCTAAATCTGGAAGGTCATGCTTAGCCAGGTAGATGTATCTGGAATTTTCTTGAGTAGAGCAGGACCTATAGGAACCCAAACTGAGCAGCGGAAATTCAGTGGGAAGTTCTGAGAACTGTGGGAACCTGGATGTCACTGGCATGAGAGTAGGGATCATGTGAAAGAGAGGAGGCCAGCAACCTGGGCCAGTGCAGGCCTGAGGCAGTAAACTACACAGGAACAGGATTGAGCCAATGGCCTAGGCCAGAGCAGGCCTGAGGCAGCAAACTCCAAGGGAGTGGAGCAAACCCTGGGAGTCCTGAGCAACCTCTAGGAACACTGAGTGGCCAATGAGGGTAACTGGAATCATGGCACTGACTGCCGCATGAGGAGCAGCCATCTGTGCCTTGGATCCACTGGCACCTGGAAGATTAATCACCATAGTCACAGATCCCCAACTACACCAATTAGAGGAAAAGATGGGTAGACAAGGTAAGAATACACACAACACCACAAAGAGCACCATGACACCAGTAAAATCTAGTGACCCTACAACAGCAAGACTTGGACAACCAAATATAGATGAAGCAGAAGAAAATGACCTAAAAATAACTTCAGGAGAATGTTTGAGGCCCTTAAAGAGGAAATGAGAAATTCTCTCAAAGAAATGGAGGAAAAGATAAATTAAAAAATGGACGACATCAACAAATCCCTTAAAGAAAACTATGAAAAAAATCAAACATATGAAAGAAACTATTTAAGACTTGAAAATTGAAATAGAGACAATAAAGAAAATACAAGTCGAAGGGATTATAGAAACAGAAATCATGAGAAAATGATCAGGAACCATAAACACAAGCATGACCAGCAGAATACAAGAGATGAAAAAGAGAATGTCAAGCACTGAAGATACAACAGAGAAAATAGACTCATCAGTTAAAGAAAATGTTAAATCTAACAAAAGCTTAATCCAAAATATCCAGGAGATATGGGACACCATGAAAAGGCCAAATCTAAGAATAATAGGTATAGAAGAAGGAGAAAAAAGTTCAACTCAAAAGCACAGAAAATATATT